CATGATAGAAATACAGATGGGCGTTGTGGAGGCGATTGCCATGGAAAGAAAGAAATAGATTGAGTTTGGAAGAAGAAGGAAGACTCCTCTTGTCCTAAATTAAATAAAAAAGAAAATCAAAGCACACATTTAATCCGTGATTTTCAACGGCTGTTCCAAACCCTCTTATGGTCACATGAAATTGGTCTAGTACAGTAAATTGTTTCCTTTGACAACTAGCTTTTCCTTCAAGTGATTGTTTTAAAGTTTTGTCTTCCAGGTTCTTCTTTAAATATACACCCATCACATTAGATTAATTTTAATCCAATCTCTTATATAACCACTATCATTTTGGATTGTTCTCAAGTCCTGTGGAATTAGGAATTCTTAGAACTGTTTGGTTTCTGACAAGCATGGCAGGCCCAAAAAAAGACTTGGAAGGTACTTAATGATGGAGGGCAAGGTCTGTGGTGCCTCCACCCAGAGCAGCACGGTAGGTAAGGTCCAGCTGCTGCCATGCTCAGATTTTCCCAGGGTTGTTATATACACACGCCTATTTTTAACAGTCATCTTTTCTTCTTCATTATTACCAGCTCCGGAATCAAATACTTCAGGTTCTTGCCTGCTTTAAACATGCCCTCAGATCTCTGTAATTCAAACTGAAATGTCTGAAATGAGGACTGTATCATTTCAGGACAGGGCAGCTTATTTGTGCTGGGAAATTCCCAATTAAGACTTCAGGATTGTTTGCTAGAAAATGAATTCATTTCTCCTTAATTCCCTGGGGATAGTTTGTTGAACTCTGCGTTCCTTGTAGAGAGTGAACTCACGTCTATGAAGTACTTATGGCAGTGCCAGTACCCTGCTAGTGCTTCATGAGTGGCAGACGTGACACTCTCTTCTTGCAGAATTGGAGTCATGGTTTTGCCAAGATCATGTACTAATTTAAATTTACGTCCCTAGCTCTTGATTTTACTATTGATAACATTTATTCACAGCAGATTTAAAATGTGGACGTCAAGTAGAGTGTCTCAGTATACAGTCCTTGGTGTTGTCTAAAATGCCAAACAGTCGTAGGCCAGGTTGTAGATTATGGGTCTCTGTGAGTTGGATCCGACTCAACAGCAGTGAGTTTTTTTTTTTTTTTTTTTAATGTGGAATGACATGGTTTATGTCTTGCCCATGCATCTTGCCTGTCAAAACACTCTAGGGACTGGGTTTTGCATTACTCTCACTCCAGAGCTTAGGCAGGATGGAGCCCTCCCATCAGGAGTGTTCCCTTTTCTGTGGCAGAAGGAAACAGCCCAGAGCAGCCCAGAGAGTCATATTTAAAATGCCTTAGTCCAAGTCACTGGCCAGAACTAGTCACTTGTACCTGCCCAGCCATAAGAGGGCCAAGAAGTGCACACCTGCCAAGAAGTGCACACCTGCCTGTGTGCAAGTGTTGTTTGTTGTTTGTTGCCATCAAGTTGATTTTGTCTCAGAGCAGCCCCACATATAACAGAATGAAACACTGCCCTGTCCTGCGCCATCCTCAGAATCGATGCCATGCTTGAGCCCATTGTCACCGCCACTGTGTCAATCCATCTCATTACCCTTGAGTCAATTCCAACTTGCAGCAACTGTATAGGACAGAGTAGAACTGCCCTATAGGGTTTCCAGGGCTGTAAATCTTTATAGAAACAGACTGGCACATCTTTCTTCTGCAGAGCAACTGGTGGATTCAAACCGTTGACCTTTCAGTTACCAGCTGAGCACTTAATCATTGTACTACTAGGGCTCTGCGAGTAGAGATCTCAGGATTTATTTGGTGAGCTGCACTCATGACTATCACACTGGACTAATTAGATTCGTCATGCTTTACGCTCCTGACTAGCATCTGAAAAGTGTGTGCCACTGGGTATTACGAGGTCAGGCACAAACTTCCACGTCACTTACCACAAATTCATCCCCACTAATGAAATATAAGTCAGAAGTACCTGAAAATGATTCAGATCATTTAAATAATTTGTTAGATGGTCTTAAAACTCACCCATGTTCCACAGGCAGCCATGGGGATGGCCCAGCACTGGGCAGAATTTCACTCTGTTGTGTGTGGGGTCACCATGAATCAGGGCTGACTCAGTGAAAGCTAACAACAATAAAGAGCACAGCCTTCGTTACAGAATTCTTGCTTTAAAGTACAGTGTGTGATACATAGTGACAGTTTGCTGATCCTTGTATCAACAGTATAGTGGTCCAGTTTTTGTGGGAAAGACTGGCCCACTACACTGTCAACTCATAGTGACCCCTCCTTGGGTTTCCGAGGCGGTATTGCTACGGAAGTAGATTGCCCAACCTTCCTTCTGAGGAGTGGCTGGTGGGTTTGAACCGCCAGCCTTCTGATGAGTAGTCAAATGCCATGGGCACTATGCCACCAGAGCTTCCATGGTGAAAGACTAGGAAGTTACATTTTAAGAAAATACACTGGTAAAATTTCAGGCTACTTACAGAGGACTAATCATGAATAGTATAGTGGTACTGTTATTTGCTACTGTTACTGTTCACATTTTCATTTTTTAATTGAAATATGGTCATTATAAATAATAAAAACAATCTTCTAGTCTGGAAGCTCCACTAGGACCTGTCCACCATGCGTGACCTTGGTAGTATTTGAAACACCAGCATCCCATCAACATGCAAGCCACCACATACAGCAGACTGACGGGGATGGTTTAGAAAATATTTAATACATTTATCTAGTCCCATGTTTTATAAAAGTTAGTAATGATTTAGGCATGATTCTTAATCGTCTTATGAATTTAGGCAACCAGAGAGAAATACTATGTCCAAAGGCATGGAGGCTTGAAAAAACATGGTCGATTAGGAAAACTGCAAATATTTTAGAATTTTGAGAGTTAAAATGCACGATGGGGGTAAAAAGTGGCAAGAGATGAGCCTGGTAGACAGGCATTCACATCACGAAATGTCTTCAAAACATGAAAGTGTCTTCGAAATATGTATGCACGGTTACCATGTAGGCACTCGGGAGTCACTGAAGAATTTTGAGTGGGTAGCCCAGAGACAGATTTTCAGATATATTTTTACCATATTTTTAGATAGGTTTTGATCATCTTAGAAATGGCTCCTGCAGATTAAGGTCTGCGTAATATTTTAGAAGCAGGGGACAATGATTGGCCGCCTGTCTTTGTGACACGGCACTCTCTCCTTGCTCTTCCAGTTTCTCATCCAGATCCCCAGCCTCTTCCCTCACGGATCAGACCTATTACTCTTCACTTGAGTGGTGGGTAGTGTGAGTCACTGCTTACAGTGATCGGAGAGAAGATACATAGTAGGTCAGTTAGAGGTTAATGCTTGAGGCAAGTGACAAAGGTCAATTCAAAGAGATGAGTGCAAGGCTGTGCACAGGAAGTGAGTTCAGGGTCAGGAACCAGGGAGAGTACCAGTGAGTTGGAACGTGGACTGTGAGAGTGATTGACATCACTGGTTTAGGATAAAGGTTGTCAGCAAGGAAAGGGCTAGCCCCCTCCTGCATCTCCTTCATCACAGTTCTGCTGAGGGCTAACTGTGAGCTGGGCTTTGTGTAGACCTTAGGAATACAGTGAGGAGTAAGATAGGCAGGACCCAGATCTACGTCTAAACCACAGAACATCAAAAATGATTGCAGCAAATATTTCTTCAATTTGCCCAAGAATGGTACTTAACTAATCATAACATTCTAGATGCAAAGGGCAGAGGTTAATTTATTGAATGTAGTGGATGTCTTAGAGTATGAAGGCTTGATTGTCTTGAGGAACCCAGGTTGAGAAAGTTAGTCTGGTGGAGTAATATGACTGGTAAGTACAATGATAGAGAAAGTTCTAGGTCCTGTGGGAGTTCATTCCTAATAGGAATAGCCAGCTAGACTGCAGAGGTCACGGGATGCTTTCTGGAAGAAAGGAAGTCTGAAAAGAAAAGTAGACATTAGCCATGTGAAGAATGGGAAAGAGGAGAAGATGGGAAGGACATCCCTGCTCTGCGGCCCCCAAGTTGTTTAGTTAGCTAGAGTCGCGATTGTGAGGGGGGAGTAGTGGCCAGAGACAAGTTCTTGTCAGCCTCATTGGAGGCTCCTTCTCATTGGGTCCTGGCAGACGCAGACCACAGACTTCAAGAGCCAGGTCCAGCTGGGTGTACGCTAACTAATCCGAGCCTGGTACGCACATCCCTTGGGGAGTCATCATTTCTTTTCCTGGAATCATTGGTGGGATGAGGTCTCATTGTCTGTAATACACTATGATGAGGTGTCTTCAGTCTGTGAACACCACAGTCTGAGACCCTTTGGAATAAGATCTGGTTGTCATTTGAAAGTGAAAAGGTTGAGACTTGGTGGTCTGCGTACCTGGCCTTTGGGGCTCTGCCTGTCTTTTCTGCCCAGTACATACATGGTGTTGGCTGTGGTATTTCTTTTGGGGTAATCTGGATCCTTGCAACCCTGTGCAACAGCAGTTCCCACCCCAAGACCCACTGGATCAAAATCTCCAGTTTAACATGATCCCTGGGTGACTTATATGAGCATTTGATTTTGAGAAGCCTTGATCTGGATGATTCAACAAGTAACCCTTCTGTACTCTTAACATAAAGATTACTTGGCAGGACCAGACTTACATGACATTGCTGTATGTAGCTGGAGCTCTGGTGGTATAGTGGTTAAAAGCCTTTGGCTGCTAACCAAAAAATACCAGTGTTTCTGTAAAGATTTCTAGCCTTGGAAACCCTATGGGGCAGCTCTACTGAGTCCTGAAGGGTCACTGTCAGTCAGATTCAGTTCAGTGGCAATAGGTTTGTTTGGTTTTGTACATAGCTGGTCCTGGAGGAGAGTCTTTAGTGCCCTGTAACAGATTGGGGCTCCAGTGATTTGAAGTGAGGTATTAATATCCTTATTTAAACAGAATTTTTCTCTGGTTCCTTCTCTCCCTACCCCCCTTGTTAACTCTAGCAAATGAAGGGCAGATAGATTCTTCTTCTTTTTTTTTTTTTTTTCATTGTGAAAAAGTCTTTATTTTAAGAAAATAATTTAGTTAACAAGTTTCACTTAGCAAAATACACCCAAAAGGAAATCACAGTACAAAGAAAGGTTTAAGTCAAGGCCTCACCAAAAATCCTACAGTATTAGTATTGTGTCTCAATTTTCAAAATTAACTTTTTAAAAGCTTAAAACTTAACCTAAAAGATTTTAAATGGAAACAAACTAGAATGAACAAACATGAGAAATGGTTCTCTTTGGATTAGGGATCTAGCACCTTTGAGTTTTCCAAAAAAGCATGACTCCCAAATGTTTGACTGTAATGTGGTGCAAAAGATCCACATTTAACATATTTTAAACTACTTTAACTTGGACATCACTCTGAAGTATACTACCAAAACGTTAATTGAGAAAAGCTGAAAATAGTTTCTTATAGTTTACTCAATATCTTTATCACATGCTAGAAGAAAGTTTGCATGAGAAAACACTGAAGAAGTAATTTTTTTTTTTTAAATCCAGATTTCACAAACTCATGGTGCAAAATGGGTCCCACAGCTTCTCTATGTAATAACTGCTCTCCACTTCTTGTTGGCTGCCTGTGAAAATTTGATTGAAATAACTCAAATGTTTCTATAAAACTAGTCATATCCACCCATGTTCTCCTGACCGCTATAGCCAGCCCCGTAACAGCCACTCACTGACTGGCTCTTGAGGCCAGTGTAAGTGGATTGGGTTGACATCCCCATGCCCTGTATCATTTGGCTACTGTCAGCCCTATTGCTGGACCCTGTGGTTGAATTCAAGAAGAGCTCTATGTATCTGTGTTGCATGTTGGCTCTGTCTTTTGACATGGCGGCCACAGCTTCTTCATGAGTGGCAAACTCGACATCTGCTTCACTGGTCACTCTTCCATCAGGGCCAATCTCAATATGAACTCTCACAGGGTTGAGTGGAGAGAAGAAGTTATAAATGTCATTCTCGGTCGCTTTGTATGGTAGCCCCCTCATGTGGACACAGTGTCCAGTTGTGCTCTGGACAGTGAACTCACTGTCTCCATATCTGTGGTCATACATTCCTGACAGACAGTAACTGAGATCTCTTCCAAACAGATCAGTGGTGAAACCATAGTTGTCGCTGAGGCCACTATACTCCTCATAGCCCCCATAGCCTGTGCTGTAGGTCCCAGACCTCATCCTGTCAAAGCCTGCTTGTTTGACAATGCCAGTATATCTCTGGGCAGTGCCAGGCCTGTCATAGGGCCCTGGTCACTGAACAAACATGAACTTCAGCGGGGGATCGGAGTGTGATCTCACTCTTCCTGACTGCTTTTGAACACTTCAGTATACCTGGGCCCTATTCTTTCCTTGTGCTTCCCTAGTGCCTTCTCAGCTAACTCCTGTGAAGCAAACTACACGAAGGCCTCCCCTGTAATCTTGCCCTCAGGGTCCACTGGCAAAGTGATCCCATTTGGCATGATTTCCAACCCTGAGAAGAACTGAACAATTTCTTCCTTTGTGCATCCAAATGGGAGTCCTTGAAGACGCACAAAGCCATCATTGGCACTGTCGGCGCTGCTTGGACCACTGTGCTTCAACACCCAATCCATTTCAGTTCTGTGGGACTTGAATACCTCAATGTAGCGATGCCCCATGCTTTCTCTGTCTTTCTTCAGGGCCATTTTTACATCATCTTATGATTCAAGTTCAACAAAAGCCTCACCACTCTGTCTGCCTTCTCTGGTGTAGATGAAATGAACACCTACTACGCCATCATGAATTTTGCATTCAGAGAGGAAATTCTGCACATCCTCAATAGAGCAAGACCATGGCAAGCCGCGGAACTTGACCACAAATCCTTCACCTCCCTCGGGACCCAGCATCTTGGAGACTGGATAGGTCAGGTGTCAAACTAGCGTAGTGTGCAGCTTTTTGTGGCTTAAAATACAACAGTGAACGTGGACCTCCTCGAGGAGATGTTTTGGTTGTTACAGATTATCCCTTCCAGAGTCTGCTCCTCCACCCGTAGCCTGACCAAAGGCTTCCGCACACTCTGTCTCCTCTCTGCGGCGGACTCTAGATAGATTATCCTTGTAGTTGGAAAACCCTTCTGCACTTGGCCCTCGAACAACGTGGGTTTGAACTACACATGTCCACTTACACGCAGATTTTTTTTTCAAGATCTTGAAGAAATTCAAGAGCTAACAGACCCATACCAGAACACAAGACAACTTTATGGAGATGTAGGCCTCTGAACCCGTGCCGACGAGAAACAAGATGTGGAAGAAGCAGAGCCAGAAAACCAGCTGGCCTCATCCCGTCCGGCACAAGGGCTCTGATCATCCAGGACTGCTTTTGACTTCTTTTACAACGTGGACGCTTCTATGATACAGGCACTGAAACTAAAGAAAACACTGGAAGGATTGGTACCGTATAGAAACATTTTCAGAGAAATGAAAAAGCAAAAAGTCAGACAGAAACTATGATGTATTTCTGTCACGTTAAACAGAGTGTGCCTGCCTATGCTGCTTCCCCTGCTACCACCTCCACCTTTTCTGACTCTGGTGCCCCTGAGATAGCATGGCCGACCCTCTTCTTCCCCCTCAGCCTGCTCAATGGGAAGATGATAAGGAGCATGAAGACCTCTGTGATGAGCCACTTCCACTTACTGTTGTTGTTAGGTGCTGTCGAGTCATCTCCAACTCATAGTGACCCTGTGCACAGCAGAACAAAACACTGCCCGGTCCCACATCGGCTCCATAATCCCTGCTATACTTGAGCCCATCGCAGCAGCCACTGTGTCAACCCATCTCGCTGAGGGCCTTCCTCTCTTTCGTCGACCCTCCACCTTACCAAGTATGACATCCTTCTCCAAGGAATGGTGCCTTCTGACAACATGACCAAAGTAGGTGAGATGAAGTCTGGCCATTCTCGTGTCCAAGGAGCATTCCAGCTGCACTTCCTCCGGGACAGATCGGTTAGTTCTCTTAGCAGTCCATGGTACTTTCAGCATTGTTCGCCAGCACCACAACTCAAAAGCATCAATTCATCTTTGCTCTTTCTTATTCATTGTCCAGCTCTCACATGCATATGAGGTGATTGAAAATACCATGGCTTGTGTCAGGTGCACCTTAGTCCTCAAGGAGACATCATTTCACCTCAACGAAGTCTTTTGCAGCCGACTTGCCCAGTGTTATACGTCGTCTGATGTCCTGACTGCTGGTTCCGTTGGTGTCGACTGTAGAACCAAGCAATGTGAAGTCTTTGACAACCTCAGTCTTTTCTGCATTTATCGTGATGCTGCTTATAAGTCCAGTTGTGAGGATTTTTGTTTTCTTTGTATTGAGATGTAATCCATACTGCAGACTGTATTCTTCAACCTTCATCAGTAAGTGCCTCAAGTCATCCTCACTTTCAGCAAGCAAAGTTGTGTCATCAGCATATTGTAGGTTGTTAATGATTCTTCCTCTAATCTTGATGCCATGTTCTTCTTCATATAGTCCAGCTTTTTGGATTATTTGCTCAGCATACAGATTGAATAAGTGTGGTGATAGGATACAGTGCTGACACACTCCCATCTTGATTTTAAACCATGCAGTGTCCCCTTGTTCTGTTTGAACGACAGCCTCCTGGTCTATGTACAGTTTCCTCATGAGTACAACTAAGTGTATTCTCATTCTTCTCAATGTTATCCACAGTTTGTTATGATCCACACAATCAAATGCTTTTGCCTAGTCAATAAAACACAAGTAAACATCTTTCTGGTATTTGCTTTGAGCCACGATCCATCTGACAGTGGCAATGATGCCCCTCATTCCACATCCTCTTCTGAGCCCAGTTTGTACCTCTGGAAGCTCTCTGTCAATATTCTGCTGCAGCTATTTTTGAATTAATCTTCAGTAAGATTTTACTTGCTTGCGATATTAATGATATTGTTCAGTAATTTCCACGTTCTGTGGGATCACCTTTCTTTGGAATGGGTACATATACAGATCTTTTCCTGTCAGTTGGCCAGGTAGCTGTCTTCCAAATCTCTTGGAATAATCGAGTGAGGTGCCTCCAGTGGGGCATTCATTTGTTTAAACATCTCAATGGGATTCTGTCTATTCCTGGAGTCTTGTTCTTCGCCAATTCCTTCAGTGCAGCTTCAGCTTCTTCCTTCAGTAACATTGGTTCTTGAACATAGGCCACCTCCTGAAATGGATGAACACTGACCAATTCTTTTTGGTACAGTGACTTTGTGTGTTCCTTCCATCTTCTTTTGATGCTTCCTGCATCATTCAGTATTTTGCCCATTTGGTGTTGTTGTTATGTGCTGTTGAGTTGGACCTGACTCATAGCGACCCCTCCTTGGGTTTCTGAGGCAGTATCACTACGGAAGTAGATTGCCCATCTTCCTTCCGAGGAGTGGCTGGTGGGTTTGAACTGCCAGCCTTCTGGTTAGCAGTCAAGTGCCTTAGGCACTACACTACTAGAGCTCATAGAATCTTTCAGTATTGCAACTCGAGGCTTATGTTTTTTCCTCAGTTCTTTCAGCTTGAGAAATGCGGAGCGTGTTCTTCCCTTTTGGTTTTCTAACTCCAGGTCTTTGCACATTTCATTATAGTAATTGGCTTTGTCTGCTCAAGCTGCTCATTGAAATCTTCTATTCAGCTCTTTTATCTTTTCATTTCTTCCATTTGCTTTAGCTACTCTCTGCTCAAGGGCAGGTTTCAGAGTCTCTTCTGACATCCCTTTTGGTCTTTTCTTCTTTTCTTGTCTTTTTTTTTTTTTTTTTTATTAGGATTTGGGTGAAGATTTACAGAGT